ATGTTCTTTCTATTTTACTTCTCGTTTTACTTTAGAAAATGAGTACTTTACAAATTTGTACTATTCAAAAAGAATTTTATATTCTTATTGGCTTTGCAAATATCCTATACTTACACTATAGATTATAAATTATTCAATGCAGTTCTCCAGCATTTTGGATTTTTTTAATATTATTTTATCAAGAATGTTAGTTTCGACAAAAGTAAAACATAAAACTTGAGTGTAAATTAAAAATTCTCTTCAAAACTATAATATTACTGAAGTTTACATTATTCTCATCACGAGAATTTCAGAATCTTTATTAAAGAAATAATTAACAATTTCTGCAGAATAAGTAAAGTGTAAGTTAGTAAAAAGTGAGTCATGAAAAGTTTTTTCTCTGTTAGTTGGAGTGTAAATTTTTGAAGTGTGCGGATTAATTAGAACTTTTTAAAAGTTTTTATGCCGTTTCATGACATTTGTATAATGAAATATTATACTCTCTTAAAAAACTTATGATAAAAAACTTGTGAAAATATTTTGTCAGTATCGAATTATAGAGTGCAATGCAACAAATTGTATTTTTGATCTATTAGGCTTACATTTACAACGCAAATATATTAGGCAAATTCAAAATGATTAGAGTAAAATCCGGACTGGCTAGATAATTATGAATAGAAAATAATTGTTATCGCAAAAAACTTTTGAGTTTGATATTAATCATATGTGCACATTCAAAGTTTCTATTAATCCCATTTTTATTGTTCTTGAGTCCTTATTGTCGAGTTCAATCCTGTATAAAAAAGAGTTTGCAATTATAAAACTTTCTTAAAAGAACGATCTTTAAAAGAATAATACGTGCAATTCCTTTTTGATTTTGAATGTTGGTTCGAATTTAGAAAATAACTAAATGATTATATATATATATATATATATATATATATAAACATATATATATATATATATATAAATATATATATATATATATATAAATATATATATATATATATATATATATCATAACATGCTGTAATTATATCCAGTCCGCACTATTTTTAATTAGTAATGCGATCCTATTTATTTTTTGTTTGATATGTATATGTACATGTGTGTTATAGATATACATGTTCATACAATTCAAATTCGTGTAATGATAGGAATATGGTTGTATTTCGATGCGGATATGATTCTCACACCTAAAATTTTAATGAAAATTTGTAAAAATAATGAGCTTGGGCTGTATGAGGAGAGCATCTAATTAATTTTGTGTGTCATATAGGGTATTAAAAATATTAATATTATTTTGACACAAATGCTCTCTCATATTTAATAAATGGAATCAGGGTGGTAAATGAAAATATAACTAGTGGGGTGGGTGGCATCGTGCCTTAAGGCAAATTGCTGGAACTTCCCGTACCGTAACGAAATGTTCGAGGAATACTGAATGTTTTCAAATAGATTATTATAAATATTGTAAAATTGTCTAATATTTATAAGAATTATATAAACTGAATTGCAGAGTTGAAATTATTTGTTTAAAGTGTATTAGAACTATAGTCAGAATTAAAAATAAAATCTGAATTATTTTCGGTATACAAAATTAAAAAAAAAAAAAAAAAAAAAAGGGAAAAAAATTTTTTTTTTCCGAAATCAATTATTTTGTTAAGACAAGCAGAAAGTTCTTTGAATCATTCAAATCGGACGCTTAGTTCTCTCAAAAACTGCTATTTTTTACATATTTAGCTCCGTATCTTCGAAATGGCTGGGCCTGTCTTTGCCAAAAACTAACAAACACTTCTCCCAATCATTACTAATAGAATGTTTTTTAGATCATTCAAATCGGATACTCCGTTCTCTCAAAAATTCGATTTCTATTTTCTGCACTCTTTGCTCCGTATCTCCGAACGGCTGGACCTGCCTTTGCCAAAACTAATCAGCTCTTTCCCTATCAATAGGAATCGAATGCTTTTTGAACCATTCAAATCGGTTGATCCGTGCGCCCTAAAACGTGACTGGAAATTTGTATCCATACATACATACACACACACACACATACACACACACATACACACACACATACACACACACACATCCATTTTTTCTGAGGTATGCCAAAACGTTCAGAAACCTTCAAAACGTCGAGAAATGTTAAAATTTTCAATTCCGATTTTCGGCCCATTACAATAACTTACCCTACGGGAAGTTAATAATCTCTTAAGGATATGTTTTTTTCGATACAGTTCAATTTTCCAATACAATTTCATTTGTGCAACAATAATATTATAATTTTTGGCGTCACTTGATGAAATTTTTAACAACAAAATGAATTTATTTTTCGAAAACCTCATATTTTGCTATTAATGTTTTTATCGATCGTAGTGATTTGTAGAGTAATTTCTCATTCAATCGTCTATATATGAACACGAATATATTGTCCATCTACCTTCCGGTCCGCTTTCGATTTCCTTCGTTACTTTGCTCAAAATAAATCCCAGATTTCTCAGATTATCTTCGTATATTCCGCCGAATCCGGAGCGGTTGACATACGGCGCGGCGGCGGCTAAGAAATCCGCGACTTCCCGGCGACAAAGCAAACAAAATTAATGCAAAAAGCGTCGCATTGTGATGGGTGGCGAGAGCGTCCTCCACACGGGGCCAAATGCAAACACTTCACAATGCGAAGGAATCCGGAATATGTAAATAGATATAAAAAATCATAAGGATTTTGACAACGACGGAACACCCAAGTGGTGGTGACGACGTGTCCACGGATATAAGAATAGCTATTCGCGATAGCTCTAATACTATATAATATAATATATTTGATAATATTATTAGATCTTAGGTATGTTTTTTAATATTATCTAACTACGCCTAAACGAAACCTTGTTTCTGGTCCTGTTAATCTAATAGGCAGTTTTCAATTTTGTACATTCGAAGTATGTAATTTTGCCAGATTTTTTTGGATTAAAATAGTGGTATAAATACCAATATTATGTCATACTCTGATAGATATGTTATTATCATCCAAGAAAAACATTATATATTTGTATTGATTCGCAATTACATACCTGCATCTAATTTGATCTTGGCATTTTACATGGTATTTTTCTCATGAAACGAACCTTAAATATTTAATTCATACCTGGATATCGATCTACGGGCATTCTGCTTCCTGCAGGATACCTTTCTCTATCCAAAGGATACCTATCACCTGAATAATAGGCAGGATAACTTCCCTTGTCTCTGTCTAGCGGGTATCTGTCACTGCCTAAAGGATACCTGTCTCTGTCTAAAGGATACTTTTCTCTGTCTAAAGGATACCTGTCTCTGTATAAAGGATACTTGTCTCTGTCTATAGGATACCTGTTCTTGTCTATAGGATATCTGTCTCTGTTTCAAATTAGATTAGATTTAGCAATATTTATGGGGGCTCGCCCGTAGGAAAGCGGTTAAGAACGACGGGACTTGATTCAGAGGTCCCGGGTTCGATACTCACTTCGAGCACCATGTTGTCAGGCAGCAAGGACAACGATTTTTACTTGGAAATATTGATAGCAATGTTTTTCCAAGTGTTAGTAGCCCTCACCCGGCATTTCTGCACCAATAAAAATATTCTTTCTATTACAGAAATTGTAATAATAATATATCAAACAGAGAACAAATGTTTGGGTTGCCATCTGTCAAACAGAGTAGTATTAAGTCAAAATCAGAACAACAGTTTATAGGACTATTAGGTTCTGATTGCTGTTCAAAAAAAAACAAAAAAAAAATTAGTGTATAAACGGAAACCAGAACCTTACTAATTTTTTTATACTTTTGTCAGCCACCGATTACAGATACTACTATTGAATACTAAAGCTGTCAACAAATAGTGTATACACTAAAAATATGTAAACTTACAAACAGTTACATTATTAGCATCATAGATAGATGAAACGTCAATGGCCTTTAGATTTAGTCTTAGATTAGCTTCAATATAACATTATCTTTTCAATTGTTAAAATAAGAAGATCTCACTGTTAAGTTCTTCTTAGACATCGCTCTCAAATTTTGTCAATTTAGCTTATAAGAATCCTTATGTATTTCTGATTGTTGAATGAAAAAGAGTTAAAAAAAAATTGATAGATCTCTATGCTATGAAAACGTTGGCAAAATTATTAGTAACGAAAATTTAGGTAACAATGAATTAGCACACAATTGCAAAATATGATATTTCAATATTATTTGTATTGGGACATGCATATATCAATGATAATTTAGCAAAGCAATCTAAATTATTATTTTGAAGAAGTAAAATGCAGAAGATAAAATAGTGAAAATATAAATATTTTATGGATTTTAAACAAATAATTTAGGGGTTAAGCAGTGTACCTTAATGGTGATAATTATGATTAAATTTAATTTGGTTAAAATTTAAATATAATTCCCAGATGTAAATATATTGTAATGTAAAGTATATTAGAATTGAAGGGTTAGTAGCCTTCCTGATGTACGAGATATATGTATGACCCATGCCCATGGGTACATATCTTGTGGGGTTAATGTACGTCTAAGTATTATTATTGAAGTCAGTTTTGTTATTGGTGCAAAACGTGGAGTACGTTGAAAATTTTTGACGTTGGTGTGTAAGAAATACAGTCTGAGTTTTATGAACGCCAGAATATAACATCATTTCGACTTCAAAAGTGACAGGAAATTAGTGCACTTTGATAACATATACGTGAAGTCGAACTAATGATATATTTGACAATGTTACATTTTGAGGTTATGTTTCAGAGGTTAATATTATGTGTATCTATCGAAAGATTTTTTGAAGGTTTGTAACTACCGACTCATGCGGTTCCTCAACCGATACCATAACATAGCAAATTTGTCTATCCCACATAATACGCTTTCTCTCATACGGCGTGTTTTTGATCCGATTCCTGAAAAAACGTGTTAGCGGAATTTTAGTGTATGTAATATATTTCCATTATGAGCAAAATGTCATAAATAATGTATCTTTTCCAGGTGACCGACCTGTGCCATGCGGAAGCGCTGATGTCGGTGACTATGGGAGCAGAGGATGGGCGAGCTCGCGGGCCAACTGGTCGCATGCAGCAGTAGCAGAAGCAGAAGCAGAAGTAGAACTGGAGCAGAAGTTAACAGGACGCCGAAGTTCTGTGAACCGAAGCAAACCTATTGTTACTCTAAAAGTTTCATTAAAGAAAGATCGACAGATCACAAAGAGCAGCTGACAAGCAGGAAGACGCTTTCCACTTTCTTTTGCAGCGCCGTGTTTTTCGCGGCGTTATTCACAGCGGTTTCAGCAAACGAACGTGAGTAAAATAAATTGTTAATAAATTTTGATTATTATTGTATTAAATGTGAAATTTTGACTTCCTGTATTGCTCGAATAAAATAACAGCAATAAGCTTTTAGCCAATACATGATATTGTAAGTTACTCAAACAACTATATTGATATAATTAAACTAAAAGCATCGAAACGAAGCTTTAGAAACGTCGTACATATATTTTTCATATATTTCATATATTTTTTTAAATATATGATAGATTTTCTGTACACTTAAAGATTACATTATTATGTCAAGTCTTTAAAATCAATAGATTTTGTGTCGTAAATTAAAATAATTATAACATTTTTTATTATGCTAGTTATGAATCATATCATAAAATATAAAGTACGTCAAATTGATTTCTCAAATTTAATTTTATAAATTTTTTTAGCCTATTGTCCCTTATTTATTTATTGGCATATAAATGGATTTAAAATAAATCCGTGACTCTTCCATTTTCTCACAACATCTATCACTTGGAAAAATCCTTGATAGAATCGTATATTGAAAGGTTATTGATAACCTTTTCTTTTGAGCTTATGGTGGTCCTTCATGTTGGCCCAAAATCCTTTATCAAATGAAAACTCAAGATCATCTTTTATTATCAACCCACGCTTGAGAGTTTTACGTACACTTGAGTAAAATTGATTGTGATGGAGATTGTTTATGAAATGAATAAAAATGGTTAGATAACTGGCATTTTTTGGAAGTAAAAATAGTTAATAATTTTTCATGAATTTAAATAACTTACTTTATAATTTAAGAGGCACAACTAGTGTGAAATTTTCAAAAAATCTAATTTTCAATTTTTCCATATTTCGATAGGTTATACCTTTAAAAATAATATACCAAAATTTTAATTCGATAATTTAAATAGTTTTTGAGTTACAGCCATTTAAAGAGTATATATATATACATAGTATATAGTATAGCGATCATTTAATCTTTAAACGCGTTTTTCTCGAATCAGCATTTTCCGAATTTGCTGCAGCGATTACTCAAAAACAAATGATCCGATCACTATCAAATTTTTTTTACATCTTCTGTATATAGTTCTCCGTAAAATGAACTATCGATTTTTTGATCGGATCAAAAATCGAATTTTGGCAGTCCAAAAACGACCAAAATTTTGGGTAAAATTCGACTTTTTTGAAAAAACGCCGTCATTTTGTCAATTTTTGATTATTTTTGTTTATCGTAGTTCATTTTACAGACAATATTATCTAGTTTAACTAGATTTTTTTTTTAATTTCATCCACGTAGAAGGCCGGAATTTTTATATAAATTCCCAAAAATCACCTTTTTTTTAGGCGGTTACACTAGTTGTGCCCTTTAACATAAAATAAAATAATAAATTAAAATCTACTGTCATCGTATAACATATTCAAATGCAATTTAATAGTGGGTACGTATATTAAAAATCCCATTTTTTCCCATCCAATTTTATTTGTTTCTTTTTTTGGAACAACAATTTGAGCTTAAGGGTCCTAAAAGCTGTTTGGGCCAATTTGATCCAATACTACTAACTACTAATATACGTCGGGTTTTCAAGTTTATTATTACAATTTCTGTAAAAAGGTAAATATTTTATTGATGCATACCGCATGAGGGTTATTTTCACTTGAAAATATTGCTATCTATACTTCCAAGTAATGCCACTACTGCTTGACATCAGGCTTCTCGAAGCGGGATCGAACCTGGTACCACTGATTCAGGTCCAGTCGCTCTAGGCACATACCGACGAGTGAGACTAACTTGTTTTCTTAAATAGAAAATCAGAATTTACAAGTTAAATCTTAAGATGTATTAGGAAACTATTTTGTTACTATCGACCAACCCTTTGACTACAATTCGTGGATTTCTAAACGTCCATAAATCCTGTCAAATACCATTACATAATTTCTAGTCCAGGGTTGATATCCAGAACGTTGACTAAACCCCGTGTCATTACATTAACGTTGTACATGCCTGCGATGCAAATTAATCCGCCGGGCTCGGTCTGTTATCGCTTCGATTTCATCAATGCGGACAAATCCCGTCTTTGATCCGGCACGACCTTGCGTAAGGATCTCCAATTGCTAGGGACTCCTGAGAGTTGTTTCTGTAATTGTTTGGAAATATATGAAATGGACATGTTGAATATTATCGAGGAGAGATGATATAGTAGTATAACGTCTTAATATTGTATCGTTTTTAACACTTTGCATGTACGAGCTGCTGATCTTCAACTTTATTGTATAATGTTTTACCTTATTTTTGAAGGAGAGTTTATGTTTTTGCCAGAAAATTTGACTTATGTTCCCTTGACGTTTCTTTTTTTTGTTTATTTTTCATAGCAAACTATACACAGTACATTCAGCTATATATTATTATAGGTATATATTATTTGACTGCGTGAGAAGGATCGCTATCCTACGTTTCATTTGACGGCAAAGTCTTTCTGAATCGTTTAAAACCCAAATTCGTTAAAATTTTGATGTATGTATTTTACAATATTGGCCAAAATTTAACCTTATGTTGATGATTTCTCATAAACGGCTGCACCGATTCAAAAAAATCAAAAGGCATTTCGCGACGCATAATTTTTTAGAAAATTGCAGTAAGCAATACACCCATAATTAGTTGTTTTATCCAAAAATTATGAATCCATAGTTAAGAATTCTGCTGATTAGTTTATGGTAAAGATCGTAGAATCTCTCTAATCCGACAGAATTAAAAATCAGGGGGTGTCGGTTGATTGGAATCTCTATATTGCTGGAATATAGTGAAACAATCATAACTTTTATTATATGACATTGGAAATTTCGTTAACATTTCCCAAAAATTTCAAAAATTGTTCAGCACTTCGGTCGCGAGGGTGTCGGATTACTGGATGTCTAAGTGTTGGTTTAGTGAGATTTTACTATATTATAATATTTGAGCTTATTTGAACGGAAATTCATGAAAAACCAACTTAATGATAAATTTAACGATAACTATTATCGCATAAGCGTTAGTTAGTATTTACTGTCAAAATCAATGGTTTAATTTATAGATATATTGATTTATATATTTTTGAGATTTTCTAATAATAGTAATTCAGCTTTTTTTATGCATTTTTTCATGAACTCATTTCTATATTTGTATTTTTATCTTTGTGAAATCTATCGAACATGAAAATGGTTTTATAGAGCATTTCATTTTTAAGTAATTAGCATGAATCAACTTGTAGCTTTAAAAAATACATGTTCGCAATGCATTAACAATTTTGTATTATCGAAAAATATTTGTCAATAATTTTATTAATCCAGAAGAAATATCTTACACAAGATTATATTATAATTAAAAATAATGAACACAAGAAAACCTCCCTTTTTCCAAGAGATATCGTTCAAGACCATCGTAGTAAGTGCTCCTTTGTGAATCGTTGTGAGCGTCGATAGAACTCTAATTAATTACGAATTTTACTTACTTTGATATTTCTCCTTTTCAATATTTATGATTTTATATTTACATATTCAAGATGTTCCTCTTTTATTTCTGAAGTTTTATATTACGACGGTTTTTATGATTGAGCGGCTCTTCAAGAAAATGTCTTATAGAAAAAAGTTCGAGTTATTGCCTCGGCGGTAAAGTACCATTTTATTATTTATAGATGCATCTGCATTAATTAAAGTTTTGTTTTCGAGTTGTTATGCAGGGTAATAAATTGATAAATTTGTTAATTCAGTATAGTTTATTGTAAAATAAAGATAATAATCGATAATGGTATTTCTTCAGGAATTGGTTCAACAATTTGCATAAAGGTTTTGTTCATGTTTTTGTTTAAATTTATGTTATTGTATAACAATATTACTAGATGTTAATTATTTAACAGTTGTAATAATTATTGAAATTAAAAAAAAAATGTTTTTGTGAAAATATTTTATTTAGAGCATATTTTATACAACGTATAAAACATTTTATTTATTGAAGTTTTTTTTTTCAAATACATTTTTCAAGTTTCTTCATAAAAGTGAAATTATGATCGAACTAAATTACTTATGATATGAATTTCTTCAAATTCTTGGGCAAAAGCGTCCTGAGCCAAAGTGGTTTTGATATGCTAAATGTTGTTTTTAGACATAAATTTTTATTGCGTAGTTTTATATGAATTTTTTGAATTAATATTGATAAATAAGATTTTTTAGAATTTCAAAATATGACGTTTTAAAAGAATACAGATTACAGAACAGACACGAATTGATTTTTGAGCATTCACATCTTGCCAAATTGCTGTTATTGTTGAATGATTGATAAATGTTATTATGATACCATTCATATTGGTTTATTTGCAAATTATATTTGACCCAATATATATTAGAGTGATATTAACCATGTGAAATTAGTTTCATTTAATATTAACATTCAGGAGCGAGCTGGTTAAATTGAAGTATTTTAAGCCCTTTAGTAATTCATGTAATCGTAACATATTCGGCCAAATCGGTAACTGAATATTGAAAGCATACTACAAACTTTATCGTTAACTATCCTGTTCCTATATTTCGATGTATAAATTGAATTTCATACATATATATTTCTCTAAGGAGCGAATTGTGTACATTGTTTGTTTGTTTTCTATTCGACTGCAACTACACAATTGTCTTTAGTTTTGAACTGCGTACGATAGCAGGCTGCTTTGTATCGTGGTACATTATTGCAATTTGTTCATTAAATATTGTTCAACTTTTGTGATGCAAAATTTTATAAATGAGTTTGTTATAAAAGCATTTACATTTTAAACTCTCTTTTGTCTCGCTATATATAAATTTTTAATGTAAAGCTTATTACTTTGTAGATAAATGGTTATGAATATTTGTGTAACTAACTTATAATAACTTTATAAATTTAGACTTTGTAAATAAAAGGTGAAATCTAACTAAAATTGATTTATTGTTGTTGAGTGAGATGCTGACGTATCAGTAAGTTGTTGGTCGAATCTCAACAAACGAAAACTCGAGAT